CTGTGTGCGTGTGAGTGCAAATGAGTGTGAATGCCTGTGTGGGTAGGAGTAAATGTATGTAATTCTGGGCATGTGAGTCAGTGTGCATGCATGTGTGTGTAAGAGGGCATGTGTATGAGTGTGTATGTGCTTGTGCATGGCATGAGGGACTCTTCAGGGTGGCCCCTGGGCTGGGAGGGTGAGCTGGAGAGGGGCAGTCTGGGAGAGGAGGCTCCTGAAACCACCGCATCCCTTTGCACCCATTGTGATGCCAGCAGCAAGATGAGGCCTTTTGGCCCCAGTTCTCAGCCATGTGCTTTGGGTCGAGCTGGACTCTGTATTGGACATCCTGCCTTATTAAAATAGATATTGTGCTTTTATGAATCTTTAATGTGAAGCATTTAGTAAGGAGTCCATATTCCCCTCAATTGAGCTGTATTAAGGAGGTTCCTGGGGAGAGGAACACTTTCCTCAGAGGCTGCTGGGGGTGGGGTGGGTGGGGTGAAAGATTCTCACAGACAGAGGGCAGAGGTTCCTGCAGACAAGAGGGGGAAGTTCCTGCAGAACCATGGGGAGTGGGTGGTTAAGATCTATCAAGGCTGCAGGGTCTGGTTTAGGGGTTACTCTTGTGAAGACGTTGACTCTGAGAAGAGAGAGGATCTTGTACTTTACCAGCATCTGGTCAGGTTGGCAGGACGGGGTGGGAGGTATGAAACATAGTTGGACTAGAATGGCTTTTTCTGTGGTTCCTTGGGTTCAAGTTATAGACTGGCTGCCACTTGCTGACCTGCTTGCAAGCCATGCCTAAAGAATCTCCCCCAGCTGGCTGCCTGCGGTGCCCATGTCAGTTCTTCCTGCTGCCACATTGACTGGATCAGGGAGCACCTGCTAAGGCTTGCTCCTTGGTTGCAGAGTAAATGGCCAGTTGCATCCTCTCTTATAAATTTAACTTGGAGATGTAGAGCCAGGCATTGGTGGTGCCAGGCATTTGAGCTGAAAGTTCACGTCCAGTTGGGTCAAGAGTTGGTGTCTTGAAACCCTAACTTAATGGATTTATTAGGTGGTCAGTGGGGGGTCAGTGGCAGAAGATACACAGTGGAGGAAGCCAGTCTGAAAGAGGAAGATAAAAGAGGCTGCAGACAAAAGTGGAATTTGAGGTCAGAAACAGAAAAAGAGAAAAGGGACAAAAGACTTCCTTCCTCCATGACCTGGAGTTGGTTTGATGTTGAAGGTCTTTCCAGTGCTGAGCTTTTGGGTTTGGGCACCCGCGTTTTACTGAGGCAGCCATAGGGCAAACCTTTTGTCTTTGGATCTTCCCCACAGATCTTTGTTATGTTTTCTGTTTTATAGTTGAGGAAACTGAGGCTCTCATGAATGACGAGTGCCTGGGGCACACACTGGGAGGACACGGAGGCAAGGCTGAACTCCACGCTCCCAGCTCCCCACTCTGGAACCACACTGGCTTGCAACAGCCCAGTCCTGCCTTGCAATCACTGGACTTGCCTCTTTGTCAGGACCCTTTTTCCTAACACCCACATGGCTTTCTGCTCCTCATCCTTCAGCTCTCAACTTAGTGACAGTTCCTTGAGAAAACTTCCCCAGCCACTCAGTTTAAAGTAACCACCCCACTCCATCATCTTGTAGCTGAGCCCCTTGGGGTTGCCATGGTTGGTATCTATTTGTTAGTTAATTTTGTCCACATTGCATTTGTCACAATTTGTAATTCTCAAATTTGCATGATGATTCTATCATTCACACTTTTCTTCTCTTCTCAGCTGTAAGCTCCATGAAGACAGGAATGACCTGCATTTTTACTGTGAAATGCCCATCCAGGACCCAGAACTCGGCATAGAGATGGTGTTTAATAAATACTCATAGAATGTCTGCTGGAGTCTTCATTTTTCCTATGAGAAAGTGGAAATATGAAAAGATTAAGAAGTTTGCCAGGGTTTCTGAGAAGATAAATAGCTGGAGTGGGGCTCTAAGTTCTGATCCACCTTGAGTCCACACTCTTCCTTAACTATCATGCTACAAAATTCCCTGTGATTGATTAATCCTTTGTGAAACATGTCTTTTCTCTGGGCTGGAAGCTGTGGCAGAAAAGGTTTTTGCTTTTATCAGTTGGAATTATGAGCCCACCCCTGCCCTTTACCCTCTGACCTGAGCCACAGGGGTCAGAACCAAAGCTGGGGGTCAGGACAACTGGATTCAAAGCCCAGCCCTGCACTAAGTTGCCATGGAAACTTAGGTAGGTCAATTTCCTGTGTTTCTGGCTTCCCTGTATGATAGTTAATTTTATGTGTAGACTTGAAGGGTGTTTTTAGGTGAGATTAACATTCCAATAGATGAACTTTGAGTAAAGCAGATTGCCCTCCATAACACGGGTGGGTCTCAACTAATCAGCTGAAGGCCTGAATGGAACAAAGGGAGCTGCTTCCCTGAGCAAGGGTGAGCTCTCCATCAGACAGCCGGTGGACTTTGTCTGCATCATCGGCTCTCCTGAGTCTTCAGCCTGCTGACCCACACTGCAGATTCAGGCTTGCCAGCCTCCACGATGGCTTGAGCCAAGTCTGTATAGTAAATCTCTTTCTCTCTGTGGACACACATCTTATCAGTTGCTTCTCTCTGGAAAACCCTGACTAACACACCCTGCCGGCCATGTGGCTGAGGCCTTAGAGTGCTCTGTGTTGAGTTAAGACAGACCACAGTGTCAGGGGCATCCCACTCAGGTGTCAACTGATCTCACCATCTTGCCCCTCCCACACCATATTCCACTGTCGCAGCTCTCAAGCTTCCTTGTTTGCAAAAAACAGGTAGGTTTGAACCTGAGATGATGGGGAAGGATGTCAAAGGCCAAAGGTGAAGCCAGGATACCACTGGCCTCAAGCACTCAGGGTGTCTCCCTCTGAGAGTGGCCTGGGGGATATTTACCCTCTTGGAGGCAAGAGACCAGGCACCGGAGGGGTGAGGGCAGTGAGGGGTGGGAGGGTCTAGTACCCTGGTACATCGGGCTGGAGGTGAGTGGCAGAGGAGGCCACTTGCGGTTTGACCGTGGAGGGGGAGGGCCCACCTCCCTGCACCCACCACTCAAGGCCAACGAGGAGCATGGTGGCCACTCCTGATCTGACTCTCTGCACCCAGGCACAGTTTCAGTGCAGGAGGCCCTGGGGAGGGGTCGGAGGGGCCACCAAAGAGGAGGGGGCTGGGGAGCCATCCTGCTGTGCTTCCCCCAAGCAGCCTGAGCACACGCAATTATAAGACAGTGGGCAGATGACAGAGTTAGTTAATGTAACAAGCCCTTTAAGCATTTAGCCACATTCGAGTGTTTAATCAGCTGTGTAAAGTGCAATATCTATCTTTCAATTTTATGCCATTAGGGGAGACAAGATTTTGATTAGGTACTTAATCTGTGCACGGAAAAAACAGGCCCACAGCAAGCCCAGGATGGGGAGGGAGAGGGACATTGGGCGGGGGATTCGATAAAGGGGAAAGACAGAAATTTAACATAAAAGAGAATTAGTGCAGCTCCTTTCAATTTAGTGCCTAGGCTTTATGGCCTAATCAATTAGAGGCCTGGCCAGGCTGCTGGGAAGTGGCTCGGCTGGGCTGGAGGCTCGGCCGTATTAATTCCCTTCATTACGCAGGGGTCAGGCTGAGGGCTTTGCAGGGGCTCTGGGAGGCGTGGGTCACTTTTCGGGCATCGGCTCAGGAAGCAGAGGGAGGCAGTGGAAGGGTGCCAGGCTGGACAGACAGGCTGGGCTCCTGGGAAAGGGGAGCTGGGAGACCCTGGGAGGTGGAGGGCAGTGGTTGGCCCTCCGGTCCTGGAGTGGGAGGGGCCTGGCTTTGCCAGCTGGCTTTGTGACCTGTGGGCTGTGTGGTCTTGGGCACATTGCTCGCCCTCTCTCTGTTGCAGTTGCAGAACCATGATCGTGGCCATCTCAAAGGGCTCCATGAAGAGGAAAAGAGAAAATGGCAGGCTGAGGGCTTAGCATAGCATCTAGTATAGTGTGGACATTCACTCAGGTTAGCTAGTGTAACTGTTACTTTCTTTTATTTGTAATATTATCGTAAGTGTCATTAGAGGTAAAATTTTACCAGAGGCACATACTTAAGCCTCTGTGTGTATGTGTGTTAGTCGCCCAGTTGTGTCTGACTCTTTGGAACTCCATGGATGTTTATTAACTCCCTTAAACATTTTATTGTCAGGTGTTGTAACTGTGCTTTGGCTTTAAGTGTTAGGTACTTAGTCATGCCCAAGTCTTTGCAACCCCATAGACTATAGCCCAACAGGCTTCTCTGTCTATGGAATTCTCCAGGCAAGGATACTAGAGTGGGTAGCAATTCCCTTCTCCAGGGGATCTTCCTGACCCAGAGATCGAACCCAGGTCTCCTGGATTGCTGGAAGATTCTTTATCATCTGTGTCACCAGGGAAGCCCACTTTAGCCTCTACCTCCTTCGAGACCTCTGTTTAGTCAGCACTTACTTTAGATACCAGGCATCATGCTAGGTGCCCTGTCTACTACTTACACTAGTTTCCCCAGGTCGATGCCACTGCCTACAGGTACACTGGGGGAAACTGAGGCACAGAGAGGTTAAACAGCCTGCCCAAAGTCACACAGCATTAGAGGCTGCAGAATCAGCACTTGGTCCTTTCCTGCTGACATGGCAGAGTAAAGTGGACAGAATTCTTCGATGGCTGAAGTCATGAGGGGATAGGTGGCATCTCTAGATGTATGCAAAGGGCCCTCAATCTCAACAGGACACACTCCAGTTACTGAGCAAATTGTAGAAAGATGGCCAAGGCCAGGCCAGTGGTCTTTACAGAATTATGGAGACCTGAAGACTCGGGGGCTGAGCTGGTACCCTTCAGGTTTTCTCAAAGATGAAGAAGCCCTTGGTCCCTGAGGGGTACAAGGGTAAAATGGGAATGAGCACCCTGATGGTTTCTTTTTTGGTCCCACGGTGTCCCCGGAGGCAACTGGGCAGGACCTCAGCAGACAGAGAACAGAGCTGAAACCACTGGTGCTGGGAGTGAGCTGGGTGTGGGGTTTGCTGAGATTCTAGAGTGAACTATTAAAAGAACAGCACTAGAGGAAGTGGGAACCATTGGAACCAGCAAACAGGCTGCTTTACAGGAACATTCTTCCTCAACAGATGTGAGCAGGAGGAGGGGGAGCGTTCAGGTTTATTGGCCACTGACGGGCTGACCTCTCAGCAGCTATGGGACTTTGGGTAAGCTCCTCAACCTTCCTCTACCGGTTTCTTTGGTGGTAACCCAGGGGTGATCATGGCTCCAATCTCACAGGCTGGTGGTGAGCATCGCATGAGTTAACTTATGTAAAATGCCAAGAACAGTATGTGGCAGTGACCAGGACTTTGGGAAATATTAGCTCTGATGCTTACTGGCTATTATCTTTTTAAAGTGATGTGGTGCCGATTGCACAGGTGAAGAAAATGAAGTTCAGAGAATTTCAATGACTTGTCCACGATCACATAGCTGGGTAAATTGGGGATAAGACAGTTGCCTTGATTTCTAGTGGCTTTTAAAAACCTTTCTGCCCACAGTGCCGACTTAACAGCATAAGGCATGGCCAAGTGAATCTAAACTTCAGCAGGGCATTTGGGAAGTAAACTCACGCAATATATGTTTTTCAGCCGCTATTATGTGCCTTACACTACAGGAAGGCAGGAACCTGGGGAGGCAGGAAACACGTCTGCCACGGTCACTACTGCCGAGTAGTCATTTAACACCTATTTGTGTAATGAGTGAGTGAATGAATGGATGGTGTGCCAAATCCTGAGTATCCTTGAGGAGAGAGTGGAGAAATGTGAATTATACAATTTTCCTGTTCAGTTCAGCTCAGTTCAGTTGCTCAGTCGTGTCCGACTCTTTGTGATCCCATGAATTGCAACACGCCAGGCCTCCCTGTCCATCATGGTTAGCTGGATCATAATCGGGAAGGCAACATCATAGAGTGGAAAGAGAAATGACAAACTCTGAGTTGGAGTCCTGGGCCATCTCCTGGCTGGTTGGAGTTGGTTTTGTTCATGGTAGTTTCATAGGTTTTCAGCAAATGTTTGTCAAATGACTAAAGAAATGGGTAGGTGAGTGACAGAGATGGCCTTGCCAGTTCCAAGGGCTTCCCTGTGGCTCAGATGATAAAGAATCTGCCTGCAATGCAGGAGACCCGGGCTCGATCCCTGGGTCGGGAAGATCCCCTGGAGAAGGGAATGGTGACCCACTCCAGTATTCTTGCCTGGAGCATCCCATGAACAGAGGAGCCTGGCGAGCTACAGCCCATAGGGTCACAAAGAGCTGGACACGATTGAGGACTAACACTTTCACTTTCACTTTTTTCCAGTCCCAGATTGGCAAGTGAGAGTTTTTGCATGCTAGGGCTTCAAACCTTTCTTTAAGGGGCGGTACAGTGTTGCATCTTCCAAAATAAAATGTGACACATAAAAATGTCAGCCATGGCACTTGGATTTCCAAAACCAGCTCTATGAACACAAACTTGGGCAAGAAAGACAACTTGGCCTTCTTGATTCCGTGGACCAAAGGTAGGTATTTCTATAAAGGGCCAGATGGTCAATATTTTAGGCTTGGAGGACCCTACTGTCTGCATTGCAACTACTCAATCTGCCACGGCAGTGTGTGAACAGCCGTAGACAACTGGTAAGCAGATGAGTGTGCTTGTTTCTGATAAAACTTTATTTATGAAAACAGCCAGCCAGTGGATTTGGCCCATGGTGGTTGCTCACCCATGCCTGATTTAGATGGTGTATTCCCAGGAAGTAATCTTTCTGCATGTAGCTTCATACCTGAGTGAAGACACTTTGGTTCTCAGCAGCTGCATCCCCATTTTACAACGACTAAATGGGAGGTACGCAGAGTCTGCTCTAGAGCTGGATTTCACAGGCTTTTGTTTAGATGTGGCAAAAAATTATCAATCTTCACTTATATGTCTTAACACTTAACATACATTATTCCCTGGCATATTCTAAGGAACCCAGGGATAGAGGGCCGACTACTCTTGCCCAGTTTACAAGTTGAATTAACTGAGGCTCAGGGAGGTTCAGTGACTAATCTGTGGTCACCCAGCTAAGAATTTAATGTTTCTTTTTATTGGGGAAAAGCAATTTGAATGAGAATGAATTTCACATCAGAAATGATGAAAATCACAAACAAATGGTACACTATTTTCCAAGAATTGAAAGAAAAGGTTATCTAAAGGAAATTCTCTAAATGGAAAAAATACAATGTAATAAGCAACATTGGAATATCAGGAAGAAAGAAATGTGGTAAAAATATGGTAAATGTAACACATTTATCTCCTCCTCCTCCTCCTGCATTTTCTAAATTATGTTCATGGTTGAAGTAAAAATTTTAACAGCAAGAAAAAGTCAACCTTAAAAAACACCCTTCCCCACACAAACCATAGTTCTTTATTTAAGAAGATTCTTTGAGCATCCAATCTATTCCAGAGAATTCTATGGAGCTGGAGCTGGGAATAAAGTAGAGTCCTGACCTCAATGTGCTGCCATTATACTTGGGGAGTGTGGATAATACGTGTACTAAGTGAATAAACAATACAGGAGGTCAGACAGGACTATCAGTCAGGACTATCAGACAGGACAGGCTCACAGCTCCAAGGCTTAATGGCTTCAAACAATGTTTAGCAAACTGTGATCCAAGGTCCAAAGGCTGCTCATTATCTCTTTTTGCAAATCAGATTTTACTGGATCACTGTCATGTCCATCTGTTCATGAACTGTCTATGCTACTTTCAAGTAATTGCAATGAGGGGCTTCCCTGGTGGCTCAGTGGTAAAGAATCCATGGGCCAAGCAGGAGATTCGGGTTCGATCCCTGGGTCAGGAAGAACCCCTGGAGAAGCAAATGACAATCCACCCCAGTACTCTTGCCTGGGAAAGCCCATGGACTAGAGCCAGGTGGGCTCTAGTCCATGGGGTTGCAAAAGAGTTGGACACGACTTAGCAGCTGAAAAACAGCATGCCACTTTCATGTTACAGTGATTTAGTAGTTGCAACAGGAACCTTCTGGCTCTCAAAGCTCCCCCCCAAACTTGTGACTCCTGGCTTAAAACTACCATGGTTTATCTCTTTCCTGTGCTTCATGTCCTTTTGGACTAGCCTGGGAACACTGCTTATCAGTCAGTCAGGAACCCAGGCCAGCGGGGCACCCACAACCTTGAGTGTATGTAAGGGAAAAGAGTTCTGGAGGGTCTCATATGAACGATTAAATGCCTAGCTCAGGAGTGACACTTAATTCTGCTCAGAATTTATTGGCCACCCAACAGAAGGGGTCCAGCTTGGCTTCAGGCCCAGAGGTAAAGAGCTTGAGATGTTTGGTGGGTCAGCTGCTCTGACCACAAATACAACGGGATATCAGTGAGCAGGGTAAGCTGGTGGGGAGTGCTCGGGGCCTTTCACTTTTCTTTTCTTTAAAAAAATTATTGAAGTGTGGTTGATTCATAATGTGTTAATTTCTTCTGCACAGTGAAGTGACTCAGTTATACATATATATATTCTTTTCATATTCTTTCCCATTATGTTCTGTCACAGGACATTGAATATAGTTCCCTGTGTTATGCAGTAGGACCTTGATGTTTATCCATTCTATATATTATAGTTTGCCTCTGCTAATCCCAAATTCTCATCCCATCCCCCCTTCCCTCTTGGCAACTGCAAGTCTATTCTCTATATCATCTGTGAGTCACTTTTCTCACTTTTATTTATTTTTTAACTGGAGTATAATTGTTTTACAATGTTGTGCTAGTTTCTGTTGAACAATAAAGTGAATCAGCTCCAAGTATACATATATCGCCTTCCTCTTGAGCCTCCCACCCGGCTAGGTCACCACAGAATATTGAGTTGAGCAACCTGTGCTCTTCAGTGTCCCACTAGCTATTTATTTTATACACGAGTGTGTGCTCAATCATGTCCAACTCTTTGCGACCCCATAGACTGTAGCCTGCCAGGCTACTCTATCCATGGGATTTCCCAGGCAAGAATACTGGAGTGGGTTGCCATTTCCTTCTCCAGGGATCTTCCTGACCCAGGGATCGAACCCATGCGTCCTGCCTTGCAGGCAGATTTTTTACCACAGCGCCATCTGGGAAGCCCGCTGTTTTACACGTGGTAGTGTACATAAGTCAATGGGGCTCTCTCGATTCATCACACCCTCTCCTTCCTCCTCTGTGTCCACAAGTCCCTTCTCTACCTGAGCGTCTCCACATCTGCCCCCGTAATGAGTCACTTTTAAATAACGCAGCCTAGACGTCACGGAAGAGAACCCAGCTGGCCTTTGAGTCCACGTCTCTCCAGCTTGAAGCCAGGTCTTCTCAACCTCCCTGCTCTGTGGCCATGGCCTGGGGAAAGCAGGTGCCGGGAGGGGCACTGGATGGTCTGATTAGGGGTGTGTCCCAGTGGGCATTCCTGCTGGGGGTCCTGCTAGGCCTGCTCCAGTGCCTTGACTGCCTCTGGGGTTTCTGACTCACCCCCACAGCCTGCATAGCCTGGTGGTCTTGGCTGGCCAGTCCTGGAAAGGAGGGGTCGGGGGAGGAGCGACTGTGGCTCCACAAGGCACTACATTAACGTTATTAATAACCCTCTCAGCCTGTATTGAAAAGATGCTCTCTGCGTCTGAATTTGCCACTATGGCAACCCATTTATTAAGGCCGTGAGAGCCGGAGTTGCTTCAGACCGTATTTATTACCATGATTTGCGGAGGGGAAGGCTCTGATCCCGGGGCTGGGGCAGCTGGGGGAGAGGACGTGTTGTTGCTGAGAGGCAAGGTCTGGGCTCACCTCGCCAGGAGGTCACCAGGGATGCGCTTTCTGTCTTTTCCAATTAGATGAGGACTCAGAGTGCAGGCGGGGAGTTCGGGGCTAAACAGAGCGGTGATCACTGCTCTACATGCGGGTAGGGTGCCCTCCAGGGCGCCTGGTGTCCTCTGGGGGTGCCCCCAGGGGACAGGTGAGGCAGACATTGTCTCAGTGTACACACAGGACAGCAAGAAGTCTCGGGAGTCCCCACGGTCATAGAGCTAGTGGTCAAGTGGCAGCAGTGTGGGTGTGGGTGGCAGTTTTCCAGTTGGGTCCGACTCTTTGTGACCCCATGGACTCGACTCTGTCCCCGCCAGGCTCCTCTGTCCATGGAATGCTCCAGGCAAGAATTACTGGAGTTGCTAGCCATTCCCTTCTCCAGGGGATCTCCCCCATCCAGGGATCAAACCCAGGTCTCCCACATTGCGGGCAGATTCTTAACCATCTGAGCCACCAGGGAAGGCCCAAGTGGGAGCAGTGGTGGTCCCCAAAGTCATGGGCTCATTTTTCCATAAACATCAGGTCTAACTCTATTTGGCTTCTTCTCTCCCACTTTTTTCCCCAATAATATATAACAAACCGTTTAACATCATAACAAAAAAATCCACAATGATAGCATCACCACAATGATAAGCTGAGAGGTTTCTGTTCATTAACATGTTTGAATTCTCATGATATGCTTGTGTGGATGTTATCACATGTTACAGATGAGGATACGGAATCCTGGAGAGATGAGATCATGGGTCTGAACTCACACAGTGAGGAAGTGGCCAAGCTGGGACTCGAAGGCAGTTTTGTCTGATTCCAGAGTGTTTTTGTCTCTGATGCTGCATCCTCTTCTTTCTTTCTGTTGTCCCAATTTCAGAGGCTGGCAGAGGGTCATGTTCACACACTTGGGCTCCATCTTCTCCAGTAACTGATCCTTTGGGTCTGTCTGGGCTTTGTCTCTCTCAGAGCCCTTCGTCTGGAATATTCTCATTATGCACACTTGGCCGGCTGGTTGAGATTTATATTAGTTTAATGACCATAGACTAGGGGGCTTTAGCAACAGATATTTATTTCTCACAGTTCTAAGACTAGAAGTCCAGGGTCAGGGTGTCGGCAGGGCTGGTTTCTACTGGGGCCTCACTGTGGCTTGTAGGCAGCTGTCTCTTCCCTGTGTCATCACGGGGCTTCCCACTGTGTGCCGTGTCCTAAGCTTTTCCCCTTATAAAGACACTGTCACATTGGACTAGGACCTCTCCTAACGACCTCATTTAACCTTAATAACCTCCCTAAGGTGCTTCCCAGGTGGTACAAGTGGTAAAGAACCTGCCTTCCAACGCAGGAGACATAACAGACAGGGGTTCGATGCCTGGGTTGAGAAGGGAGGGCCTGGAGGAGGGCACAGCAACCCACTCCTGGATTCTTTTTTTTTTTTTTTCCCACTCCTGTATTCTTGCCTGGAGAATTTCACGGACAGAGGAGCCTGGCAGGCTACAGCCCACGGGGTTGGAAAAAGTTGGATACAACTGAAGCACCTGAGCACGTGTGCCTGCACCTCCCTAAGACCCCGTCTCCAAATAGGGAATCTAAGGGACACATTCTAAGGTACTCGGGGTGGAATTTCAACAGAGGAATTTTGAGGGGAACACAATTCAGCCCACAGCAGGATTCAAGGACAACCTGCTGCCCTCTGAAGCTCTCTGGGATCTATGATGATCCTAAGGAGTCTATGTGGCTCTACCATGGAGACACCACTAGCGACTGGCTTCCACTTTCCCTGAAAGCTGCCCATCCCCTAGCCCTCCCCTGCTGGAAAGTTGGTTCCACTTTGGAACTGCGTTTTCAGAAAGGTGGGAATTGTCAGGATTTCCAAGGCGGGGCCTTCTCTGGCATTCCAGGTCCTGGGCACTCTTGCCTCCACAGAGCCCCTTCCTTCACACTCTTCCTGCTGTTACCTCTTGAATTGTGCTTATGAGGATGGCTGGACTCTTCTGGCGTGCCATGCTCTGCTTCTCTAGCATGGTCTTTTCCTTTTTATCGCTGCCTCCTCCCCGTGGCTGATGGCGTCCTTCCTTCCCCTCCTCCTTCCCTCCTTACTTCTCTCTGTTTCCCTCCCTCCTTTGTCTTCCTTTCTCCTGCTCTTCCTCAGCCTCCCTAGTCTCTGTACATCTGCTCCATGTTAGGCACAGTGCTAGGTGCTGGATTCTGTGCTGAGCTCAAACAAACACTGACAGCAAAGGTAGTTGAAAAACTGGACCCTTCTGAGGTGGGCTGCATTCTCATAGTATGTCCTTCAGTGATCACATCTTACAAAGCTGTAGTCCAATCATCAAAACCAGGAAATTGACACTAGTGTCATACTAGTAACTGAACTATAGACCTTATTTGGATTTTGTGTTTGTACACACGTGCATGCCTGTGTGTATGTAGTTCTAAATGATTTTTTAAAAAATCTAAGTATACTTACTTTACGATGTTGTGTTGGTTTCTGTTGTACAACAAAGTGAATCAGCTCTATATATACATATATCCTCCCCTCCCACTTGGACCTCCCTCTCACCCCTCAATCCCAGTCTTCTAATAAATGATTAACTTTTACATTTTGAAAAGTGTAAGACAGAAAATGTTTTGTCTTCTCTGGTGGCTCAAATGGCAAAGAATCTGCCTGCAATGCAGGAGACCCGGTTTGATTCCTGGGTCAAGAAAATCCCCTGGAGAAGGAAATAGCAACCCACTCCAGTGTTCTTGCCTGGGAAATCCCATAGACAGAGAAGCCTGGCAGGCTACAGCTCAGGGGGTCACAAAGAGTTGGACACAACTGAGTGACTAACAGTTTTACATTTTGAAAGTGTAAGACAAAAAATATTTAGGATACGTCCTTGTCAAACTAGTGCCTTCTAGTCCAAGTGCATAAAGAACTCCTGGATTAGAGTGAAAATCAGGGAGAAAGTGTAGGAATTAGAGATAAGGCTTTGCTCCAAGAAAGATAGCCTAGGGTGCCCTTTGGTATGTTTTCCTTGGGTGACTGGGGCTGCTTTCTGATAATCCCGTCTTCATTCTTTCCCATGGCTCTTTAGTCCATCCCAGCCAGCCATGGGTGCCAGATTTGCTTATGGTCCATATTTGATTGTTCTCTGAAACTCCTGATGCTCCTCTCCCAACCTCCTGGAAAAGTGAATAGACATCTGACATCACATGTCCAGTAGGACCCCCAGCCCACCTGCTCACCCTCGTCATTCTTGTGTCTTCCTTCTTACCTTAACTCTGACACTTAATCTACCACCTGTGCCTGTGTTCATTTGTTTTGCTCCATCTGGAAAACTCCTGTTCTCCAATTCTATGTCTAAAAATTTTATCCACCGTTGGGGTCTCAGTACAGCCTCTCCCTCCTGTTAAATTCTCTCTTCCACTTTCATGTGACATTATTCAGGTTGCAGCCAAATTCTTCCCCAGAGAGAAGTCTCCTGCTCCAATTACACTCCTCTCTGTCCTTCCATATTCCCTCGTTACACCTTCAGTTTCTGGAATGATTCTGTCGGTTTCCTTGTTTTCTGTTTTCCTGCCAGCCTGTGAGTTCCAAGAGGCCGGGACCCTGTCTGTCCTAGCTGCTGTCACCCCAGCACCTGGGACAGACCCTGGCACTAAGTCAGTGGTATTTGGGGCACACTGGTTGACATATACACGTAGTAGTTGTAGTTAAAATGATGACAGCAGTAATGACAATAGTAACACAGTTTTACAACTGGGCTAGCCTTGCTTTCCTGTGAACTCTACAACTCTTTGTCTTGACTTTTGATGTAGATCACTCGATATCGTGATCACGGTTACCTTTGTGTATGTGTATCTTCACACAGAGAAACCTTCGACAGCCTCATCTTACTCATCTCTGGGTCTCCTTTAGCTTCTGGTCCAGAAGTTGGCCCGTGGAAAGCTGTCGCAGTGAATAGTCTAATGAATAGACGCTTAGATGCTTGGAAAGAGCCACTGTCATTGCTTCAATTGCTCTCCTTCGGTTTCCTGATCCATACCAGCAGCAAGTGGATGGCAGAGCCAAGCACCCTCCCCTCCCCTCTCCCCTCACCCCTCCCGTGCACTCTTCGCCTCTCTGTCTCCTACTCTCCGGGCTCTTAGGACAATAAGTACAATCCCATAAAGCTCTCTCCAGGGTATCTTGCTTCCCCACGCTTATCAGAATAAAGGAGAACTGAAAGGGCTTTCGAAAGAGCCATCTGTTAGTTTTCATAAAGACATTATCTGCTTCCCATCACAGGGCTTTTGCTGTCTCTGACATGTGTCTACCCTCCCTCCACCGTCTGAAAGAGCAAGAGTGTGCTTTCCACTTTCTGTCTGCGCCTGGCTGCTGGAGGTGGGCTACAGATGGAGTATTTATCTAAAAGTAAAGAGATCTGACTTATAAGCAAGCCTGATATTAAATGTATAAATAATGCATCCTGTGGCATTATTTATAATGCAATAACATCCCTATAATGTAATAAAAGTATGCAGGTTCCTGGCGCTTTTCTTAACCCCTTGATGTCTTGGAGGAGGCGGTGGGTCTACCAGCTTCCTCTGTCCTTCAGGGCTTGGGGATGGGTGCCATCTGCCAAGGTCTTGCCTGGGTCCTGGCTTCTGCACAGCTGACCTTCTAGACAGCTACTAGCAGGATAGGGTTGGTCCTGGTATCTGGACTAGTGGCTCCAACTTTGGTGTGAGTCCAAATGTAAGTTTCTCATTCTCCATCTACTGATTTGGAATCTCAAAGCACAGGGAGAGAAAATGTGTGTTTAAACAGCTTTTTTGTAGTTTCTGTTGTCATTTGCTGTTCAGTTGATAAGTCGTGTTTGACTCTTTGCGATTCCATGGACTGCAGCACACTGGGCTTCCCTGTCCTTCACTATCTCCTGGAGTTTGCTCAAATTCATGTCCACTAAGTCAGTGATGCCATCCAACCATCTTGTCCTCTGTCATCCCCTTCTGCTGCCTTCAATCTTTCCCAGCATCAGAGTCTCTTCCAATGAGTTGGCTCTTTGCATCAGGTGGCCAAAGCACTGGCGCTTCAGGTTTGTGGTTTCTAAGACAGGTAAAGGAGTGATCTTTACTCCTTTAGAGTAAAGGGTTAGACTTTACTTAGAGCGGGAATATACTAGCAGGCATCCCCAGCTCCTGGCCCTGGGACTCCAGAGCAAGTCAACCTGGAGGGGACTGCGTGTTGGTCTTCTACATCAGTCTCATGTCTTGCTCACCTGCCCAAAATCCACATCCCTCCTGCCACTGAGGGCCACCCCTGTGTCAGGGCCCAGCTGACCCCCTGGTCACTGG